TAGATCGTACGAGACTCTCAAACTCCCCAGTCTAGTCAGCGAACCGTGTTGGGGTAACTTATCGAATACATTGCTGAATTCTACGAAAACAAAGTCTCTAGGCGTCCTGTCATCCTTAGACTTCACCCAGCTTTCTCTGGCTGCTTGGCTTGTCAAAATGTTTGTCAGGAAGGTTTGAGAAGGGTCAGAAAAAGGTGGTGCAGACTCAATAATTGAAGTTTGTCTTCTAGACGCGCCATAATGGCTTCCCTGAATGCTCTTTCTAGGATCTTAAATATATCACTATTCACGCTTATTGGTCTGGAATTTGGTGGATGTTAGTCAAAACCCGCCTCGGCAATGGATGAGATTAGGAAGCCTTTGCCATCATTTAGGAGTATGGCTTTACTGTGTGACGGTCTAAGTAAATTAAGGTAGATGTAGTTGAACTACTCCTTTGTGGGTTTTCGACAGGTGGAGTAGAAGGGAGTAAAAATTAGATGACACTGGAAAACCTACACATTTTTTGGGGTGAAGAACGAAACCCCGCTCCCGTGAATAAATTTTAGTTTCATAAACTCATCTACATACCCACGAAGCTTTTGCCGGCTACATCCGCCCAAAATGGATGAGCCGTGAGCGGCATAGAAAAGTACCACATCAGTGCTACAACTTCATGGCAGTGTCAAGGTAAGTGGATTTGTTGCATGTGTTCAGAATGTCAAAAAATACCTGATTTAGTTGCCAGCAAACTGAGAGAATTGCTAGGACCTAGGGGGCCACGAGATAAGAGCTCTCATGACCCACCCATAGAGACAGGGCAAGCGCCATGGATACGGACCATGTAAACGTCAACGCATATGGGACACCCCCTGTGCCGAAAAACCCACATAAACCGGAAAAATGGAGCGACTCGAGGAACAAAATTGTATCGAGGATGAATGGATGTAAGCAAATACGGGGAATGGTTCAGCAAATTCACTGGCCGCCAGACGCAATATGTCGGACTCACAGGACAAGATAATGGACTCTATCTTCTTGTTCAGCGTCCCCACGCCGACAAACTCACCCTATGAAAAAAGAAGTCTTACAGGGAAATGTGGGATCATTACTGCAAAACCCTAGGGATAGAACCCACAGTATTAAGCTCTCTTGAGGACACAGAGGATCCCAGGATAAGCCACCATTCCATAGGGTGCCGTCACTGACAGCGAGATGGTCATGGGATACACTGCTACTGTTGCGCCAACCGGACATATCAGGCTTCCGTGACATAAGGAGATGGGCAGATAAACCGCGGGCTCCAGAGAGGCTGGAAGTAGGTCCCTCCCGGCGGTCGCTGCACGGCTGCAACCGTGGTGATGCGTGGCATCTTCAAACCGCAGGGAGGATCCACAAAATGAGATTATCACCCCCGAGGTGCCGAGGAGTGGAGGTGCCTGGGCTCAGAAGTGAGACAAGAAAGCTTGCCTACCAGTAGCTTAGGCAGGCCACCGAAACCTCTTCAGTTGCGCAGCATTTCTACACCCAAGTTGATAGTTGTTCGCCTCTACCCCGCGTATCACCCATGCAGACCCTTACAGCATGGCAATGCGTGAAGCATCGAAAAGAAGGGGCTGTCAAATGCTGGAAAAACGAGCCACAGTTTCCTCGACGTGCAGAGAGAAGATGGCCCCTAAAAGCACCGTCGGCAGTATTATCTGCAAAAGTAACATCTACTGGACTAGACCCTGTGGCTATCACGATAAATATTACCGTTATACAAGCACTACGATGCCGGAAAGAAACAAAAGCGTGGTGCTTGTCAATCCTTACTGAGCTGAAAACCAACATCCGCGGAAACACCACTACAACCCCTACCCTGGTCATCGCGTCGCGCTAAGCCCAAGACCCGGCTTCTTGACATGATTTTCAGTCGCATGAGTGGCATAAGAAGTAGACTACCAGTGCCAAGAACGATGTGCTCCATCTGCATACATATGCAATATTTACTGCAGAGATATGGGTCTTATCAGATATCTCGGACCAGAAGATGTCTCCACTTAACGTGACCCCATTCAAGAAGGGCAGAGAGTTCAAAGAAAAAGGAAGAGTCTCCACATATATTAGCACACACCTAAAAGCCGAGGAGGTGAGTGATATCGTGTTCAACCAATTACCAGACTCCTTATGATGCTATTTCGCCACAACCCACAAAACGTGGCCACTAGAGGTGGTATACAGGTCTTTACTGTGCACAGCAGACCATAAGAAACAGGTGCTTACCACAATTTGAGCATGCGCCGTAGCAGCCTATTGCCACTTGGCCCTCACTGGAGGCTCTAAAACATCAGCACCTGGCCCGGGATTCGAAAGAAGTCGTAGACATACTCCTTTTCAACACAGACTTCGAAATGCCTTTACGGTACCAGAACACACTGATAAAGCTGGTAAAACACCCAGTGTGAGCCAGATGGAATAGAGTCACGACTTGGTTGCGTCCCGACAGACGACCATCTTTTGTAGACAGTAACCGTGTCCAATCCCCCCAAGGTAGAAGTGACCATGCATTGGTGCGATTCCCCTGATAACCAGGGATACACTGTAAACATTTGAACCCTGAACGTTCCACTATTACGGAAGACGGACCAAAACTCAAAAAGAACGAATTCCAGAACACACAATGGCCACAAGAATGTCACTCTCCGTAGACAGACGAACACTGGATGCGTATGGAGGATATTAGCTGAGGCACTGCGAAAAAAGGCATTTGGAAAACAAGCAAACGACCGCCTCTCAAACACCCTTGGGTGACTTGCGCAATCAAAAGGGAGATACAGGGAGGAAGTACGGCATGGTATAAGTGGTGCGCATCGGACTAGGAGTTGGACTTTCCAGGTCACAAGTGGGTTCAAAACATGTACGGTGTAAGGGTTCGCAAGGACAAGTACAAGTGTTACGGTAATTTGACCAGACAGATAATATACTACCCAAAAAGCCCACGTTGGTCTATGTCGTAATGAAAACCGACGAATAGGGTGTAAGGCCAAATACAGGGCAGAACGAAGAAGACTTAGGTAGCGTTGCGATGGCGGAAATGTCGAGCAGTAGATTTGGAGGGCGGCTGAACATAATTTTTCGTCCACCACCAACGTCCGGTCGTGTAATGAAGTTTCAGGACTGTAATACAATGCCGGTGAACGCAAAGATGTCGTCAGACCAAGTGTTGTTTTACATACCCAGAACAGGATCTCCGGGCTGTAACTACATGAGACCGGTGATCCTACAGAATTGTGTGGAAGTGCTAAGCATACCCAAATGCAATCCGACCATGCACTCGTTAGAAGTAGGTCAACTCCCGAAGGATGGAAACATGCTATCCCACAACCAATCTTCAAGGGAAGAGAGAGAAAAAAGCCGTGAATTGCGATCGAATAGCCTCGCTTGCCATGCTATCCAAGGTACTGGAAAGCTTGGCTGCAGATGTTGCTTGGGACTACCTTAGCGGAAACAACGTAGTTCATCCCACCCAGAACGGTGCTGGTTGAGTTTGCAAAAGGGGATGTTATTTAACCATTCATGGCGTAGTTTACAATAAATCCATGCCGAAGTTAACACAATTCGATCAGCTTGCAGGGGCAAGCACACAGAAGCGATCATTCAAATTCCCTCGGCTATCCCACCGTTTGCCAACGAAGCCAAGGCATGAAGCACTATGGGTCGGGAAGAGTATCATAAGATGCTGGAGTATTCCAGTACGACCTACTGCCATTGGAGTCCTGATTAGCTGATATTGGTTTCAGCAGAAGTGCACGGTAATTTACCTCCCCACACCGGAAGCGATGAGAACTAGCTAAACCCTCAGAGAGTGTGCGACCACCAGGGTGTCCGTGGAGAAGAACCTGGGACTAAGCCTCTCAAGTACACCAATCACTGCTGCTAACTATATGGGAGTGGTGGAACAGTTGAGTGGCATCATACACTTTCTAAGAGGGTAGCCTGGAACCCTGAAATCTTCTTCATGGCACTTGTAACCAAAGTTAGATCATACTTAAAGATGTTCAAAACGATGTCCCACCTTCTACTAGGGAGAGACGCTAGAACTCTCGAGAAGGCTCAAAGAACAGCAACAAAGTCAGCTGGCGGACTAAAAGATAAATGTGTATGGAGTTGGTTAAATGACCCAAACTTGTTCACCTCGGGCTACTGAAGGAAAAGAGGCAATCTTATAACAGCCTATAAGATCATTCATAAGTAGAATGTCCCAACAGGCCAACGCTATCAGTCATAAACCAGTCGTGGGAACACCCCATCACGTGCTCCAAAGGAGGGCAAAGAAGAGAATTAGATCTAACTTCTCCGCTCATAATGTAGATGTTATGTAACGCCATGCAAAAAGAGGCGGTCTGGGCCGTTTTATTTGAATTCTTTAAACAAATACTCGATAAGTACATCAGTGAAATGGCTCATGGCCGACATTCGCCGGGAGCAACTGAGGATACCCTCATCCATACCCTTATTTCCCAAACCTAGTTTCTGCAATACGACCTATAACTTCCCCATATTATCACTGGTAAGGCTTACTTCCCACAAGTTTTTTTCAAGTCCCATTTCCCATTGCTCACTTATCTTATTTTGCATAATGATTCTTAAACAATCTCCGACACTTAGAGATCCTAAAAAATAGGAATTACAAAAGGTTAGTTGATCTTGTAAGTAGCTTTGTTGTTCCCCCAAACAAAGTAGCCTATATTCGCAAAAGAAGACCCGAAAGGAACAGCGGCTACCCACAAACTCATAGGAGGGTAAAATGAAAAAACCTCTGCTTCCACTTAGGGAGTATAACCGAACAAAAAAGCCAAGCTCCAAACCTGGAAGCAAGAATTCAAAATCTACAAGTTTCCTATGCTGGGACTATTGATTTTGGGTGTCGGCTGCTTTATATAGGGGTCGAGGGATCTTAAAATGTAGTTTTAGGCACTAAACACCTAACGTGCAAATCTGTTCCATTGAAAATGTAAGCATTTTAAGTATGCCTACTGAAGGAAGGCGATTTCCCGCACATTTGAATCTAAAGCGTGACTTAGCGTCCACTGGGTATTGACGTAGGTGAAAGATGGAAAACAGGTAAGTAACGTTTCTGAAGACAGACTATACGGCAAAAAGTGGAGAGCCATGAAAGTTTTGCCATAATGTTTACGATGGTATACTTGGTCACCGCGTAGTACTTTTTAAACCATTTAGATTCAAGTCTCGAAACTACTGTCGAGGTCGTAGCCTTATAAATTGGAAAACTCCGTCTCGTCTGTCTTGTTTTTGCTGTGGCATCTTTGAAAGAGGGGTGGTCACACTGATGAAAGTTGGTGAGTGTATGGTTATTGGTAGGTCAGGTCTTCCTTTTAAAACGATGTTCAGCTTGAATACTGCTCTTTTTAGCGCATTTCTTCTAAGAGTGAAAGTGCTTGACTTGAAGCTAGTTGTAATTCGTTTTCCCTTTATTTACTGCTGTCACGAGGATCTTTATCACTCGATATTCTTCCACCTTGAAGTGCATAGTCAAAGAAAAGGGTTCATGCCTGAAACTGTTACATCTACAAATCAAATCAATGCATTTCAGGGCTTCTTAGTAACGTTGCAGTAGAGACTTTCTGATTGTTATGGTTCTTTTATGGCTCTTATCTGCTGTGGTAGGACTTCCTAACTGTTCTGAAATATCGTCTCATTCCTATCATCGCACATACTGAATAGTTACTCTTTTTAATTACGTAGGTAATATAGTGTTTTCAAAGAATAAGCACCGTAATGGCTATAGACTTATCTTGCCTCTCCTGTCAGAAGCCATCACGTTTGTCTTTCTGGTGGTAAGGATAAATAGGTTTGACTTCGTTATATCGTTTCTTGAGTGGTGAAATACGTTGTCCTCTCTAGTCGTCTCGTAGTTCTCAATACTGCCTCTGTTAAAAGCCACTATAGAAATAACTCCGAGTGAGGTAAAGGTACATCGTCATGGTCAAGAACTGGAATTCGTGACTAATTATTTGTGGTAGCTATTTTGGCAAACATGTTGACTGTGTCGATTGAGAAATTTTTCTCCACAGCTGGAACTAATTGCCCAGTTTACTTTCCTTTACAATAAAAACCGAAGTTCCCATCACTAGGCGGTAATTTGTACCCAACGTCAGAGTCGTGTGTAATACATTGAGCAACAGCTACTGAGTATTCACCATATTTAGTAGTATGGTCTGCTTTTGGCCTGACCTTAACCATAAACCAAAATAACCGGCAGCGTAGACGCTTAGCAGAGGGAAGAGCTGGAAACATGTTGAATAAAATGCTTTCCAGTGAGGTGCTACTATGTTTCTTCACTTAAACCTGTTTGTAGTCCTGTGTTCCATGGTTCTTAGACGCCTACTGAGCTAGTCAGTTTTTCGTTTATTTACAGGCAAAGTGAATGTAGAACTTTGTATAAAAGTGCATCTTTCGGAGTTGCCACACTTCACGCATATAAAAGATGAATAATGGAGGAGTAAACAAAGGTTTATTGGAGAGAAAGCAGTCTGAAAATCAAGTTTAGTGAAAATGATCTAGTCTTAGAAGACTTCAGAGAGTGAGTACATCTGCGGTACTGTGACATCCCCCATTTCACCGAGTCTTCAACTAGTGATTTCTTGTATCTCGAGAACCCTAACAAAGCAGTTAAGACGTCCTAGTTTGACCATCATAAACCTTTCAACCTAATCCAACTTCTGCTTGCTTTTCACATCGAGGCGGCCAATGGTTCAATGTGCGCGACATGTCCTAGCCACCGTAGTTGCCAAAGGTTAGCAGCCTTATCGACCGGCTTGCACTCTTCGTCTAAAACCTTTCACCTAACCTCGATATTACTGACAGGAACGTTCCACTACTCCTGAGCAATGCTACGAAGGCACCTGCTGTCAAAATCCTTTAAGCGACCATGTTTCAGCCATATAACAACAGAACTTAACTTGTCCTCACAAAGTATTATAGAATTCTTTCACTCAACTGTCCACAGTTCAGTTCATGAAGGTATACGTTCAGGAATAGAAACAGGAATCATTATCGACATACAGTTTCGACCTCCAGATTTCTGGATTAGCCTGTAATAAGTTTTACTTTTGTCAGATGTTGCACTGGTTGAGGAACAAGTTTCTCCACATATAATCGAGAGTGATTTTAACTTTTAATGTGGGATTTGTAGCAATAGATAGGTGCTTCAACATCTGATAGTCTTATTTGAGCCGGTTTGTTACAAGCATTAGCACTACGTAGCATAACAGCTGACGGAGTTCTTTGTGGAGCATATAATCTCTTCGATTCTTTAGCGTTTGTGGATTGTTTGTGTACGTGCATGCAAATATCTCGTCTTCATTAAACTTTGTTTTCTGATCTCCGTAGCAAAAAGTCTACCGATGCGAAGCCGCTTGCTGCTAAAGGCCTAGAAAACCAGAAGGCCTTCGTTTGAAAGAGAAAATCAGAAAAAGGAAACTGGTTACCACAGCTCGCAGAAAGGTACTGAGTCGGTTGAGGTATTTGAAGTTAAAAGGCATGATGAAACAACGTGCTGAAAAATACATGCACGTAAGTTTTGAAGTTGTTTTCTTTTTCATGGTTGTAGGAGTACCGCAAGATGGAGAGACGAGAAATCGCTCTAAAACATGATGCCAAGAAGGCCGGCAACTTCTATATTCCAGCTGAACCAAAACTTGCATTCGTTGTACGTATTCGTGGTATTAATGGGGTTCACCCACAGCCGCGAAAAATTATGCAGCTCTTCCGTCTCCGACAAATCAACAATGGGATGTTTGTGCGGCTAAATAAGGTAATGTAAAATGTTTCAAACATTAATTATGTAGGCAACTCTCAGCATGCTTCGTATAATTGACCCCTATGTTGCTTGGGGTTATCCTAGTCTGAAGCTTGTTCGACAGTTAGTTTACAAACGTGGGTTTTGTAAATACCATGGCACTCGTCTACCTCTAACAAATGACCTTATTCAAAGAAAGCTTGGACACTTGGATATAATTTGTGTCGAAGATCTTGTGCACGAAATATACACAGTGGGTCCGAACTTCAAACAAGCTGTTGCTTTCTTGTGGACGTTCAAATTGAGTAATCCCAGTGGCGGCTTTCGTAAGAAAGGCAAACACTTCGTCGAAGGTGGGGATTTTGGAAACCGAGAAACTTTCATCAACAAACTACTGAAAGCTATGCTTTGAATAAATGAATTGTCTCTGGTACTGACTTCAAGTTAATGTGTTCGCTTTTTTAAGTCTGACTGTAGGTAACCATGCGTATCTAAGTGTCGTTTATTGGTCGAATTGACCTTTGCTTAGAAGCGGTTAATCCCATATTTATGTAGTAATATTAGTGGCGTTCCCAGGAAAGACAACGTGCTTTTTCTTTTTTTAGAGAAATAGATGAAATGCCTAAACTTGGCTTCTGTAGTGCAAATTCTACTGATAAGAGTTTATTGGCACTCTGGTTGCAATGCTGTTTGACTTCCAATCCATCTGATTACATTTTTTCTTTATGAGGTGATTCTGGCATCTATGTGTGTCTACCTGGTCTTGGCATTAGTTGTGTAATTCACGTTACACCGTTTTCACTACTCTGTTGAGTGAAAAGAATATTTACTTACATCAGGTTCTTATGAACGATGATTAGTTGGTTTCTTTGTGATATTCATTGGCGGGTTTGTCTGTAATCGTTCCAAATTTTACGCTAATGAAAACAAAATTTCAGGATACCTGCAATGTATGTCGTGGGAGTATTTATTCCGTTAGTGTCCACTCGTCACGTACTGCACCGATTCCTTTCAACTGGATCGTTGTGAGCCATAATAATAAACATGCCGCGATTATATTAAAATACATTCTTATAATATTGTAGGTCATGGTTTGACATTATTATTCCATCTTCAGGTCAATACTTTAGTAGTAGTAGTGTGTCAGTAGTAATCGCCAGTGCATAAATGTTGTGTATATTATCAACTACATCAGGCGACGAATCATTCCTAAGATTGACTGTATGCCAGAAAGAGTACAAATAAACACTTTTCAAGCATCTAATCAATTCATTTAAAGGATAAAGGAGTTTTTGTGGACGTCCAGACAATCCTGGTCTGGTCAGTTAAACTCTTTAACTACCTAAAAGCAGTTCAACCTTTTTTACTCGCAGTACAAGATCAGGATGTCATTCTTCACTACTTGCCGAATGTAATAGCAATTGTTTGGGTATTTTGAGGTAGGTTCGGTTTTACATATGAACGAAAAATGATCATAAGGTCCTCTGATTATTTGGTCTCGCGAAATTTTCATCATTCTTTGCCTCTTGACCTTTGCCAAGTCTTTTGGTTCATGTATGTTGCAACGGATTATCACAACTTGGAGGATAACAAAAACCGATTTGCTTCCAACTAGGAAACGTTACAACTTGAGTAATTTAATTTGGAAATCTGGACTCACTTCCATTATATCAGCTCAAGGTACAGCTACTGTGATTCAGGCAAGAATTTCATGTGTTCTCGCTACCCATTAAGACAAATCAATTTCTAAACAATTTGACTGAGGTTTCTACACTTTTTGGTGACAGTTGCCTAGTTTGACAGTAGTTGAAACTAGTTAGCTCGCAACTGGTTACTAAACATACTTTTTACGTATACGGTACCACGCCTTACCATGTGGGACAGTGGGAACGTGCTGAGTCAGTCCAGCGGTTAATCCTGGGAGAGTTTAAACTGTTCCTATGTGACCCTTCAAATGTATGTTCTACGCCCAAATTATGATTCTTCTCTGAATTACTACTTCAAACAAGGTTTAACGTCCTCTGAGGACGGATTCAAGAATATGCATTAGTCGAAACGTACGAAAACAAGAGGATTTAACAACTTTAAAAGGTATGAGATCATAGATTTTATTACATCCATAGTTCTTATTGTTTAGGTTGTTGGTGTCGTTAATATGCGGCTACACTATTCGAGTCATCTAGTGAACAAATCTAAGCCAACTAAGACCTGTAGAATAGCGTCACCATTGCTTCTGTCACCGCTACACTCACACTGGTGGCCTATGGCTTATCTAGTGAAACGCTGCGTTCATTATTTGATTTGATAGAAATGGAAGGAGCCGTTATCGTTAATATCCGAAGTAAGTGTGCTCAAATGTCGAGGTCTAGTTTAGGCGCGTTTTTATAGATATAACCATATTTTTGGCATCAAAATATGCTATATGATGAGCGGCAAAGTACTGTCTGAAGAATATTCGTTTTCTTTCTATGTATTTCGCACCTGTAGACTGTAAACAAAACAACAAATTTACATTATTGTATTTTGACGACTTATCTGAACTAGTCATTTCATCGATAGGGTTCGTCAAGTTCCAGTTACATATCAATTCTTATATCTCTTAGTTTTTTTGATTAATACGTAGGGTTTTCAGTGAATATTTGTCATCCTGTTGTTGACATTATTAAAGTGTTCGTTACTAGGTTCCAAAAATATTTTTATACCTATCAATTTAAACACTTAAATAAAGTCCACTGTCGCCTGATGCGTATGACAATTTTCTGATGAATGGATGAGCAGGTCCTAAAACGACTTCTATCTTCCGCGTAATATGGTTCGTAAACATCATGTTTCCTAGCTTCTTGAAGCTATTGATGTATCAGAAAGGAAAGTTTGTGGGAAATCACAAGAATGGTCCCATTGAGCGTACAGCCTTACCTCTAGTTTTAGTCGGAAAAAATACTACAGTGACATTCTCAGGAGTAAGTTCAAACATACCGAGTCAATCTATCAGTAGTGGCACCTAAGTGATAAAGGAAGTCTTTTCTTCAAAAATTTGAAACAGTCCCTTTTATGAATTTCGATAGCGTAATCAGAAGATGAAGTTTATCTGAACAATGTGATGTATTTGCACAATACATTTCGAACAATCTGATCACACATTCACTTGTCAAGTCAATATATATTAAACTGAGGAGTGGGGGGACAAATACAACAATTAACAGAATAGGGGATTAAAATTAAGAAAGATGAGAACAAACGGCAAGTGACACAGTTGGTCCTTATCTTGGTAGAAAACAAAGTTTACCAAGGTAGGTGTAGTGTAAGAACAAATTGTGTATGGCTAAGGCTTCCGCAAACCTCAGAATACGTCCATGACTATTTCTATATAAAACTTTGAAAGCTGTTTGAACATTAACTTTGTGACCTGTTTCTATGATATGTTTAGCTATAGATGAAGAGGGTCATCTCCCGCCAGCGTTTATCACTGTTCTATACTCCATTTGTTTTTGAAGCCATTTAGGTACATGTTCTTCCACCCTCAACTGCATGACTCGATTACTCCTCCCTATGTATATGTGACGACACACACACACACATGTAGATTGGTAAACACAATGGGATGTGACGTAATCACTCATACAGTGTTTAGATTTTTTGTGAAGCATGTGTTTTGTTTTCTCCACAATGGTAAGATTCGCCACGTAATACGTTTTCCTAATGGTTGATGTCAGCCTACGTCTCAAAATGATTCTATTTAGCTTCCCTCTGTATGGTAGAGTGATATGGAAGCTTTTCTTAGGGACCGTGTATAGAGTTGGCTTTAGTGCTACTTGACCTCTACAACGGTTCATAAATTTCATTTGATATCCATTTTCTCTAAGTGCTTTGGTCAGTAATTTGGTGTCTTCATTCATCGCATCTGGTGTACTGACACGATAGATCCTATTAGACAGGCATTTTACTAGGCCTCGCTTGTATTGGATGGTTGAAAACTGTGAAAATTCAGGAATTGTCCTGTCGATGTAGGATCTATCGTGTCAGTACACCAGATGCGATGAATGAAGACACCAAATTACTGACCAAAGCACTTAGAGAAAATGGATATCAAATGAAATTTATGAACCGTTGTAGAGGTCAAGTAGCACTAAAGCCAACTCTATACACGGTCCCTAAGAAAAGCTTCCATATCACTCTACCATACAGAGGGAAGCTAAATAGAATCATTTTGAGACGTAGGCTGACATCAACCATTAGGAAAACGTATTACGTGGCGAATCTTACCATTGTGGAGAAAACAAAACACATGCTTCACAAAAAATCTAAACACTGTATGAGTGATTACGTCACATCCCATTGTGTTTACCAATCTACATGTGTGTGTGTGTGTCGTCACATATACATAGGGAGGAGTAATCGAGTCATGCAGTTGAGGGTGGAAGAACATGTACCTAAATGGCTTCAAAAACAAATGGAGTATAGAACAGTGATAAACGCTGGCGGGAGATGACCCTCTTCATCTATAGCTAAACATATCATAGAAACAGGTCACAAAGTTAATGTTCAAACAGCTTTCAAAGTTTTATATAGAAATAGTCATGGACGTATTCTGAGGTTTGCGGAAGCCTTAGCCATACACAATTTGTTCTTACACTACACCTACCTTGGTAAACTTTGTTTTCTACCAAGATAAGGACCAACTGTGTCACTTGCCGTTTGTTCTCATCTTTCTTAATTTTAATCCCCTATTCTGTTAATTGTTGTATTTGTCCCCCCACTCCTCAGTTTAATATATATTGACTTGACAAGTGAATGTGTGATCAGATTGTTCGAAATGTATTGTGCAAATACATCACATTGTCCACATAAACTTCGTCTTCTAATTACGCTATCGAAAATTAGTGATACACTTCATTCATACACGGTAATCTAAAGTTTGCAGCGAAGCTACTCTGGAGTTCATGTTATACTGGGTTATTGAAGTCAGAGTTTTCATCAATCTATTTATTCTCAGGTTGATATGGGAACCTTCGTTTGTATTAAGCATGGTTCGTTTCAGAGATTATGACACTGACACCGTGATGTCACTTATGAATAGGCAGGTTTAGCAACGTGCTCTTGGCACTTAATGAATAAATCACTCACTTTTTACCACAACAGGATAAATACCCGGATTATCATATTAAAAGTTACATACTGCGGTAATAAATTAGCGTATCTTTCTTGTGTAAATGAATATACCGACTTAGGGATAAATCTCATCCTGAATGCCAATAATTAGAAGTTGTAAACTCTGGGAATGGTCTGAACAAGAAGTGGGTACCGTAACCCATCAGTCTAATGAATACTGTTTCTATTCTCAGTGATGAATGCTGAGTTTAAATCCTAATTAAGAAATTAGTCTAACAGGATGCGGACACGTCTAATTAATGAATAAAAAGCAAGAAATCCTTTTCCGAGTTTTCACAACTGACCAATTCAAAACAATATCAAGACTTTATCTTTAGTTCACACATCAGGTAGTAGTAATAGCTGCGTTGTTTCTCGTATCTACCCTACACTGCATCCAACCGTTATTTATTACCGTCCGTCCTTTAAAAGTGTGACCAGATAATTCTGGGATTTATATTTCATGTATCAAAAAGCATATGAATTCCTAGTTTTAAATACAGATACCTAATGTAGCAGACTGTCTTACTGAACCCGCGGGATCAACCTGTTTATAGAATCTTGCCTGGCAATCGGTTTCGAAACTGGTGATGTCAAAAACTGACAGAAAAGCCTAGTGGACATATGAATATTTTCGTTTTGTAGGCTACACTACAACGAAAGACAGTAAACACCTGGGTCGGTAAACTAAATCAGGTACAGTTGATTACGAACCCACTGCATTGGTTTCGTATCATTCACTGACGGAGTGGAGCTCTATGGCTTATGGGTCTACGTAGTTGGTTTCCAACCAATGAGTTCTACGACTACTCCCACCGAGGTTGTGGACGTATCACTACCCCTCGCACAGGTGTGGGTCACTGCCCAGTACACAAGGTTACTAAGTGGAATTCATTCATTTGCTGAAAGTACGTAGTCGACTGTTGGCGATCTACGTGTTCCGGGATTAAAGTGACTTCCTGGCATACTTAAGAGGTATATATCTATTAGGATATGTTCAAATCAATGTATTCTAATGACTATTCAACTAGTAGAATGCGATGCAAATCAACAACCCTATGTCCAGCACAACATTGTTGTGACTGCTAGTGATACCGTTTGCTTGTTCATATGTCGTAGATAGATGGAGCAGAATTTCCAGTCATATTGCACTACGCAGTCGAACAGGAAATGTAGCGAGCTGCATCTCAGCAAATAGAATAACAGTGATGTTTCTAATGAGAAGTGATATAAGGGATTTGGTCTGTTTAGCTCCTGATCTCGTAGGTAATCAATCCTGTCTATGTTGTTTGACGGACTTGCAGTGAGAAAAATATTTTGCATATTGACAGCAACTTGTTTATATTTTCATCACGCCACTTCAGTTTAGTCCATTTCGAAATCGAAATGCACTCAACAGCCTTGTGTACATTCGTGCAGTAAGGCAGTGAGCTACACCTATTGCGTCCGGGCTAATGATACTGTCTAGCTGCCCAAACATAGGTAGGTGAAGTTGGTTTCGAACCCGAAACTCGCTCGTTAGGGAATCAACCACCTGATCCAATCGGCCACAGCTGTTTAGTAAGGCATAGATACGATGTGTATAAACATGTTCACTCGACTGTATTTCTCTTGTTAGGCATTTTAGCGATAAATTTCATAGGTAGCTTGCTTGATTTCATTCTTACCTCACAGTCCAATAGCTTTCGGTGAAAAAGGTCAGGCATTAGACTAAAGAGTAAATCTGGTTAGTTATGGATGATTTTCAAGCTAACTCAAGTTCTTACATTCTCAGCTGTGGAACAATTTAGGCTGATCTTCAATCACTGGGTTACGTACTCGAGCCCTGCTCCATCTACCGATATTTTTGGCGACCAGGTAGTATCATAAACTTGCACACAGTAAATGCGGCTCTTTGCATACTTCATGATCGCGCAAATGGTTGCTGAGTTGGGTTTTATCTATCATTTTCGGAGAGCAATGCTACTATGAAGCAAGTCAGTCACATGAGAAGTACTTATCAAGGTTTTCTTGATTCCTATTCCAGTTTAGTGGTTGTTATTAAATTTTTCTCATGGTACATATATGTGTGAAAAACTGGTTAGTGGATAAAACAACTCTGCTACAATTCACTTAGTTTACTGTTAATGATTGAATCAAATATCTAGATCGTCAGAGTATCAAACATTCTTGTTTAATGTTATAGTCTACTTGTTGGCTACCACTGGAATCCAGAACGCGCGTTTCCTCCTATTCGGGACTCGTCAGATGGATGTACCTGCACCCCCGTGAGGAGTGGTGTTGTCCCCACTGAGACTGCAACCCACCACCCATCTCTTCAAACGCCAAACCGTTTTCCACTAGGCCTCTGGAGCACAACAACCACCACCTGTGCAGCGGGTATCAGATGCTGTTTATTAATACCAGCCCAAAATAGGACGGAACGTGCATCCTGCTAGCCACCAAGTAGAATATAATATGATGAATATCTAGGCAGTATCAAGACATCCGCATAGGGACTCATCTGCCAACAGTTCCACCCAGCAAAGCAACACTGGACTGTATATAGTCCAACGGTTCTTCATTCAAATGGCAGTAGAATTTTCCACACATCCACAATATGTGATGAAGAATCATTCCTGTTACACGAAGTTAGGTATTGATTCAATGAACAAAATTTTGTGATCAATCTCTCCCTCCGCCTAGCTATATTGGATTTTAGAGTTGTCTCTCTAAAGTGTGATTATGGGTCAGCGCATGCAGAGCGATAGCCGAGTTCTTCCCTAAATTACCTATCTTGGTAGGGTTCACCATTGTAGGCCTCGTTGAATTTTTGTGCTCTGCTGTTCTGATTGACTCAGATCGGTTGCTTTGACTTATATACTTGGTTTCACAATCACTACAACATGGTATTTGATAGATTAGGTTGTTTTGCCCAATTGGCTCTACTGGATCTCTTAGCCTACGAAGTTTTTCTTTGAGTCAGTTTGTAGGTTCAAAAGCCACCCGAAGACGACTACCGTCGACCAGCCACATTTACTTAGCCGTGTCAATTATATACTGAAATTCTAAAATCTCTCATTTTATTCAGGGTAACATTAGAAGCTTTTCTGTATATTATAATTTATATGATTATCATTCTTAACAATAGTAATCTAAGCAAATAAAAAGAAAAGCCATTCACAGCTCTGGAGCAAGGATTAGGATATGAGATCACATCTTTACATTACTTGATAAAAATAAAATTCCTCAACAAAAATTATTTCTCGCTGTTTTTCATACACTTCCATTCCCAATCTTGATATAGAAGATTATCACAGCTATTCAGCGGTTTCAGAGGAATTGAATGAGCATCCACAATTTCTTTAGACAACATTTGGTAAAAATCACTTTTATTGACAAAAATTTCTTCAGACTTTGCAGTTGTTACACGAGCAATAAGATTGTCTAATGATGAAGTAGATGGCTGATGATGACTACTGAGCCAAAACAGGCTTTGTCGTAAATTATTCAAGGCTTCAAGTCTTAGTACATCTGGTATGCTTGGATAAACACATTTCAGGATATCAGATTCATTATGCCATGCGTTAGTTGTTGACTGATTGATGAAATATATTCTAGTCTAAAGAAAATGAGTAGAATGACAAAATATAACAACGCAACAAACACATTACGTATTCAGTTTCAGTGAATTAATCACTTCAATTGTCACTTGTATAAAGAGGATTGTGCGACTCTGTGGTTCAGTGGTACACGACAAATGATCACACTTTCCAACTTCCAGTTACTTAGTACCATTTTCAGTTTGACTTTCTGAGACAGCAGTGGCTTGGTAGAGTTATATTCATACTAGGTGATGATTACGAGTGAAAGTCTGAGGGCCGCGACAGGGTTCGAACCAGCAACCTCTGGGTTACCGGCTCAATGCCTTACCAAGTAAGCGACGAGACCTCGCCGGTGACTAAATCTTAATGTCACTGACTATTGCCTAGGAACTTGAAGCAGGTACCACTAATTATCAATGTAATCAGTAGTAACATTGACATCGACAAGAAATAGGTCATAGGAAAATGACAGAACAAATTTCTGAAGAAATAAAAGGGAGAGACAGACAGGTGGAGAGTGATCGAAGAAATTAGAAAAACAGGGAGCCGTCGCATAAGAAACAATCAAAGGGTTTCAATTAGTTTAAATGGAGGTTGACTGAAAGTAGGTTCCATCACGAACTGATGTTAGCTGGGGGAGCATTAGAAACATATCATTTTAATTTGAAACTCCCAAGCAATGGGAACATACGAGGCAGTGAGGGCTGCAGTCCAAGATCATTAGCTCATGTGTGGCTACCACTGAGTAATCTAAAGTTAAGTAAAAACAGCTATTTAGGCCTTTCGAATTTTAAACGTTTGTCCAGCTGACGTTAATCAGTGATGTAAACTACTCCGGCTTCATGAGTTATGGATTACTTTTCGATGGTAATGAAGCTATATCATGATCAGTGGTTTCGATCCTGAACGCCATCGAGTATTGTATTAAGCGAATGATAGAGTTTTTTCAGAATCTACTTGAAGGAGTTGTGATGCAATTAACACAACTATTATTTCATCCTACGTGACCATACCACAGAATGATCACCTACTTGCGTTTTCCGAGAGGTCTCAGAAACAGCATCAAATGATCTATGTAGAGGCTACTTATATAGTGCAATATGTTTCCAAGCCACTTAAGCCAATGTTTCAAAGCTACCCGATATATTAGTGATCCGCATAATGAAGAAATATGCCACCGAATTTCAAAACAACTTACACATTGTCTCCACCAGAGCATGTGAGCAATATTTATTATGGGAACAATGATGGTGGTCAAACGCGCACGTGTAAGAGCTTTAGCTAGAATACATCAGTGCTATATCCAATCGCCTAAAGTCAAACTCCAAAAGTAAGTCACTCTGATGCATACTAGCATGAGACTGAATATACAACTAGACATACCATCCTTCACAATTCAAGGTCTAAAGAGTCCTTAGTAGACTCATTCAACTACGTGATAAACTAAAGGTTTTCTGAGTTGAGTCTGTTCTGCTTAAGGCCTTTAAGTGGTTCGCTCTTTGGAATAGTTTAGAACTCATTGTGAATTATATGATAACTTGGCTCGATGGATGTAGCCAGTAAGTCAAGCTCAATATTGTTTTATTGTCAGATGTAAGTGAAACTAGTCACCTTATCAATAAGGCATTGTCTATGCTGTGTAGTCAAGATAATGTGTACAAAACACGACTTGTTAACAACAATAAATGCAACCCACTTTTTCAATACGATTCAATCGATTTGTAATGTATTCATTCACTTTATCCAGAGGATTTTCTTCATGTAAGCCATGACCTGGTAATAATATAATGGACTGTTGGCGGTTACTATTTCTTTGCTGATCAGATAAAACATTTTTAACCGTATGCAAAGATTTCATATAATCATCTAAATTCTCAACAGTTGTACTTCCATGACCTGTAGTGGAGAAGTTGGATGTAATAATAATAATAATATTCGCTTTATTCCAAATAATGTTTGGCTGAAGCTGACATTAAAGCGATGATGTCCGCATGCATTTTCAGCACATAATCTAACCAGATGACTTAGTTAAGCAATCGGAGAGTTAATAATTGCCACTTACTTATGATATCCTATGAACAATCTATAGTGTACTTTTAATGCGTCAATTGATAGGATGAAATCTGTCCTCGCTTTCTCTGTCAGACATTAATTTTGAATAAAGGCAGTAATTAGTTGGAGACCTCGAAATCAGACCCTTTACAAACGAGCATTTACCAGTGAATAGTACCTGCAATCTTGAAGATAAGTGCAATCTCATGCTCCAGATTCGAGTCCTCATGATCAGACATAAAATCTTCACAGCACAGCAAAATCAAAACACATAGAAAGTGGTTCTTGTATTTAAACTAGTGTGACACAACAAAAAAAACTTAAAAGTCAACGACTGCAATCTATCTGTAAGTTAGATACTTTTCCAAATGCAATGACTACAGTTAACAGCGCACGGTAGGCAATTTGAAAATATGAGTAGTATTACTTATACTAACCTCACCTGGTTAACTAGTTCACTAGTTACTAGCCGGTCCTAAGCCCACATAAAGAGGGCATAGGGCTAGCAACCCCACCCCGCAAAACAAATCTAACCGCTAAAGAAACTTCAAAGCACAAACAAAATATAGAAAATAAAAACAAAATTATTCCTCGCTGGAATTGGGGAGACGAAATGACGCCGGTTGGTGAAAGCCTTCAGCAAGCCAATTGGCCGATGTGTCTTCTCTCCCTCGATGAAAGTGAAAGTAGAAATGGGGACATGGAATGTCCACACCACGTTTGAACCCAGCAAGGCAACCCAGATTGCAAACGAGATGAGAAGGTATCACACTGAAGTGCTTGGAATTTGCGAAAGCAGATGGAATGGGAGTGGACTCTCCTAACTGTCAACTCGAGATGAGTCAATAATCTACTCCGACATCGTCACCCAGACGACAACCACGAGCACACTGAGTTTTGGAGTGACTATCATGATGTCCCCAACAGCATCAAAGGCTCTCTCTCATGCAGTGGCAACCAATCTCCTCCTCCAGGATGAGGATCATGACAGCAAGGTTCAACTCAAAAGGAAGGAAAGTCACAATCATTCAATGCTATGCTGCGCACATACAAATAATGCAGATCAAGGGAAGGAGGAGGAATTCTACAGACAACTTCAATCAACACTGGACAAGACCCCATCCCAGTTGGAGACATCAAAATTCTAATGGTTGTGGTGACATGAATGCCAAACTGGGAGTGGACAATACAGGAAGGGAACTAACCATGGGTCGAGAAGCGCTCGGTGAGGTGATGAACGAGAATGAGGAATCGTTCGCAGAATTCTGTGCATTCAACGACTTGGTGATTGGAGTCATGCAGTGTGTTCAAGCACAAGGATATCCATAAAGTAACATGGATTTGATTTCACTAGACACCAGGACACACCAAAAATCAGATCGAATTTTTCTCAATCTCAAGAAAGTGGACACGCAGCCTACTTGACACAGAGTCAAGAAGGGGAGCAGATGTATGCTCAGACCACTCACTATTTAGAGCAAGGAACCTTCCAAATCAAGTTAAAAGCCTTCAAGGAAGTTGGTGATAGACCACAGTTCAAGTTGAACACCCACAACAGAAACTGAAGGACGAAACTACAAAGAACATCTTCACGGCCGCCAGCCATCAAGACAAAATGGGAGATATCGAGCAGCAACCTTGAAGAAACCTGTGTGGAAGAACACTGGAACTCTTTGAAAACTATGTGGAAAGAAACCTGCACAGCCGTATTAGGAAGGAAGAAGAAAGAAGACAAGGAATGCAATGGATCTCGACGAATACATGGAAGCTGATAGAGCAGGCAGGGAGAGGAGGATGATGAAGCAGAAGATAAACCAGTGCAAGGATGAACACAGAAAAGAAGAACTGAGTACAACGTATAAAACACTGCACTGGACAAAGAGGTGAAGAAGAGTACGCGCAAAGACAAAAGACATTTCTACAAAACACTGGCAAGTGAAGCAAAATGGGCTGCAGCTAGAAGAGACCTGACAACATTGTATCAAATAACCAGTTTACTATCTCGGAAGAGATCAACCCAGGTCAAACCAATGAGAGATAGCGAAGGAAAGCTAGTTACCAAAGAAGAGAAACAAAGGAAACAATGGGCTGACCACTTCAAAAGCAGACTCAGAGGAAACAGCGGACATGCTCACACCACTACTGCAGAAGGTCTGGAATGAAGGGAAGGTACCTGCAGATTGGAAGAAGGGTTACCTTGTCAAACTTCCGAAGAAGGGAGACCTCAGTGTTTGCAAGAACTGGCGCGGAACCACGCTCCTGTCCAACCCAAGCAAAATATTAAGCCGTATCATCTTGGAGAGACTAAAAAATGCACTGGATTCAAAACTACGACCGGAACAGGCAGGCTGGCTTCAGGAAGTACAAATCATGTGCAGACCAAATTGCAACGCTACACTATGCATCATCATAGAACAGAGTATAGAATGGCAGTCAACTCTCTACCTCAACTTCATAGACTTTGAGAAGGCCTTTGACAGTGTCGACCGAGAGGTAATTTGGAAGCTGCTTCGATACTACGGAATACCGCAAACCTTTATCAGCCTCATTCAAAAACTATATTAAGAAACCACGTACCAGCCAAGTAATTCACATTGGGAAGCTCAGTGATGCTTTTGAAGTGAAGACAGGAGTGAAACAAGGTTGCCTACTATCACCCATGATATTCCTGATTGTGGTGGACTGGATCATGCAGCAAACAGTGGGGAGCGAGAAGAGGGGGATACTCTGGACCGGGGAAAAGATCCTAGAAGACTTGGATTTCGCCGATGACTTATGTCAAATGTCGCACAAACTTGATCTACAGGCGAAAACTAACAAGTTGTCAGAAGAGGTGAGGCAGTGAAGACGGGACTTCAAGTGAATATAGAGAAGACAGAGGTAATGAAGATACCCAGCCAACACCACCAACAACAACAAGCTCAAATCACCATCAATGGGAGAAACTTGAACGCAGCACTGTTTTAACTACAGGTGGCACAGACGAGGATGTCAAAGCCAGCCAGGATCAGTAAGACAGCAAGATAGGCGTTCATTAGCCTGAAACCAGTGTGGAGAACTTCTGCACTCAGCATTTGGAACAAGATCTGGATTTTCAACACCAACGTCAAGTCAGTGCTTCTGTATGACTCAGAGACTTGGCGCGTCACGAAAGGGATTTCCAACAAACTACAGACATGCATCAACAACTGCCTACTCTGGCTCGTTACTGAAGCTCAGATTAGAAGGCCAGAAAGAATAAGCAACAAGAAACTCTGGGAACGAACCAATCAAGAACCCATCGCTCAACAAATATGCAGTGGGAGGAAGTGGAGATGGATTGGGCATTCATTGAGAAGGCCGACTGGGGACTTCACGTGCAAGGTCAGACCCTCGAGTGGAACCCAGACTGGGAGCGACAAGCTGGGCGTCCTAGGGTGACATGGAGATCGTGCGAAGAGGTTGTCGTGGAGCCAGGTTGAAAAGATTTCAGAGAACAGAGCACATTGTAGACGTACTACTGAAGCCCTATGCTCCATTAGGAACCCAAGGGACAAATAATAATACAATAAATTACTTATACTACTTTAAGTAGGATTAAGTAGTAAGGTGGTATAAACTAAATCTAATAAATACACTCACCAAGTATTAAATCTCCAGAGAATAAGCATACTGGTTTGTTGTCCTCCTCAAGCCATAAACATATATGATCGCTAGCATGCCCTGGTGTATGCAATACTCTTAGAGAATAGGCACTATTTGACTGATTACTGACTGGAATGGTATCATCATTTTGTAGATTTGTAACTTGTTCAGAATAATATCCAAGCGATTTTAAAGTTGGACCAGCAAAAAATTTGTACACTGGAATTTTATTCGACGAGTTTTGATCCAGTAGCTTCTATCAGAGAGAGAAAGATAGATAGATAGAAAAGAAGGTAGTAAAATGAAAGCATTGTTTCAAGGATAACAGTCTTGATGAGAGTCACTCAGCAGTGAACAGGAGGTTGCATCATACACGATCAACGATAAGAAAATAACATTTTGAACAAAATTTTTTCACAGAAATAAGGTAAGATATAGAGAAATTCTACATAAAGTTGTATGTCTCACAGGAACAAAAGATGGGGAAATTTGGCAAGATACATCCTTTGAGTTCACGTTAATATTTAAGCACTAATAACCAACCCAAGTGTTATGAGATCCATTCGAATTCGGTAAGGGATCAACTCACTCAACCAATTTAGTTTCCAAGGTAGTACTCACCATGGAATGACATCAATTGAAGAACCAATGAGAACCTGAGAGCACTGGAAAGCTGTTTCGTCTTAGAATGGGATTCCACAGTAGTGTCCATTTATGACCCCGATAAGAGTCGTAACGTCGAGCATGTTACCAATCAATCAACCACTGGGTCGAAATCCAATGGTCTATATTTTTTCCTACAGGCGGTATCTACAGGTTGATCAAAATACTGAGAATGAAAAAGTCCTTTAAGAATTTCCATCAACTGTCTTAGGATATCAGACTTCAAATATACTGTGTTTAATGTCGATTGACTGAGCTAAGAAGTCACACTTTATGAATAGAATTCCTTCAACACAGACGAATAGACAGCATGCAATTGATAACTTTATCCAGTGACAAATTAATACATTTAAGATAATCCTATACCAGTGTAGTGGGCGTTGCTGATAAGAATGGGTATGAGTAGTATATGTTAAGAAGGTGGCAGAAATCATAGGGTATTACCAGCAATGGGTAATGATTCTGCCAAGAGAAACGCAGGTGTATGAAGAGTAAATCAAGAAAGAAGCAGAAGAGGAAATGAAGCACATTTTGCAAATGACGGTTTTAGTGCAAGGTGTACCATATTTAACGACCACTGTCACACGTGTTGACAACAAACATTCCTTCCTTCGTATCTGTTTTCTTCACCAGGTCAGTAGCCAGATAAGTATCTCAGGTATATAACCTTACGAATAAGCCATTGAGCAAAGCAACTCTCCAGACAACTGGTAGTATCCAAGACTTTTAGAGTTCGCGAATCAACTCTGTAGGGCTTTCTACTAAGTCTTCAACCAATAAAAGTTCATAAATTCATCAGTGAAAGCAAGGTGAATTACAGTATACAAAACAGTAATTCGATGAAAGTCAAAGCTGATCGACATAATATGATAGCTAAGCATATCTAATATTTCAGAAGTAATTTGTTAGTTCTTTTCAACTTACCAAAACATCTTCCACAGCCTGAGAATGATCTGGATGCCAATGTGTAAGTACTATAGCCGATAATGGTGATCCCATAGAACAACGGCTGAATTCTTTCTCCAAATGACTCAGATATAATGAAAGACCAGGCCCACGTATAGTTGTATCAACTAGCACACGTGATAATTCAGGATTCCCAATGAGATAAGAATTAGTACCCTAGTAGGAAATAATTCTCTCTTGAGAATAACAAACAAACTTATCAATGCATCAAAAACACCGAATTTTGTGAATTAGAATTGTCACAATATTTTTTAATGGCGGCGGCTTCCAATGAGACTTAAGATGTGCTTTCCGCCCTGTCTTATATTCATCAGCAAGATGTATCTGAACACCAAAAGGTTAGTACTGTATGGAACCAAGATATCCACAGATGTATTACACAACCTGATACGCCACAGCACACTAGTTTAAAAGTAATATGAAATAAAGTAGTTTCACAAGAAATACAGAATTGCACTACACCTTACCCCCATAGAAAAAAGAACCATTAACGATATTACTCTGTTGATGAAACTTTGGTCAAACAGACACAGCAAGGCTTTTACAGACAACCAAGTAGTTATCGAGAGTTTAAATTAATAGGAGAAAAAAAATGCTGGAAGAACCCAGATTCGAATAAAACATTGTTTATTAGTCGAAACGCTTTTAAATGATCGTTTTCACGCCTTTTTTCATGGCATGATCAGTAGTTCACCCCCTCCATTTTCAAAGTAATTCGCTGATTGTTCGGTGCTTAACTTTTAGTATGTTAATGTATCAAATTCTGGAAAAGATCATATTTCATGTACACGTGTCTTGGGTGAACTGACTGATCTTCTTGGAAGAATACACTATCCCATCCAATTCAGTCTTCTTCGCTATTCATCCGGGTTGGAGTCCGTGGATCTTGCTTAAGAAGCTAGTTGTCAGTCGAGTGTGCATATTATATTCTATCGAAATATATAACAAAAGCATACCTTTTTTCACCTCTGTGCAAAGAAAGTTAACCTTCATACCACAATTTTATTCTATATCTGGTCACCTAGCAATGTAACCCTCAGCACCAATATATAAACTTTAATATAGCAGTCATTGTTAATAGGAAATGTAGAGTATATTATTATACACCTTCAAGAAATCTTCACCGCAAACTGACTTCAGTTAGAGAACCTATAGAAAACCAAAGAGTGTTGGAAAGTTGTTTTATTCTAATTCGGGATTCCTAAGCAATTTACACAACCTTCAAATTACACAGTGAACACAACCCGCTTTGTGAGGCATAATCCAATGTTCTAAAGTTTCCTACCTCAGTAAACTAACCACACAGCATAAACTATATCACATTTTATTGGTGATCGTTGAATTCCACTTTAATCTTGGTTGGTGTTAAGTATCAGACTACTACACCGGGGTTTACAAGTCAGCAATCTTAAATGCAAGATTAGATACTGGATAGTGAGACTACATCAGCTATATGACAGCTGATCTAGCTTTCAAAAGCTCAAGGTTTGAATTGACCTCTAAAAGTCATGACATATTGGTTGAAAGTCGAATGGTTAAACCCCAACACCTAGACTATGACAACTATTAACCATCCAATCAATGACAAGTTATCATGCAATCACGGTGCCTAGACTTCTGTATGCTGGTTACAAATAATTACTTATCAACAAATTTTATACATATGATTACTTACTTGTAACGTTTTCACTCCGGGATTTTGACCTAAAATTCTTACTACAATAGGATTGATTTGACTGGCATCCGGAATATTTGGTAAGCCTGTAGACATCTTAAATTTAACGTTGAGCATACGAAAATATAATCGTGAAATGCATTCCGTAGAGAAGTTGATCTGCAGATAAATATATGAATTTGTTCTAAAATTAGTTTTGAAACAACAAAATGTATGTATGTAACGACAATAAGTCGTTCAATCACGTTAATGTAATACCAGAGGACAAAAAACTGAAGTCTAAAGTGAATTGACTTACCAAACTGGTAAACAGGATACACTTTTCTTTCGATCATTGAATCGAACAGTGGGACAGATTTACTTCCAAATATTATCACCATTCTTACTAGGGTGTTTCCAGAATCAGACAGTAACAAGAATGATAAGATCAAAAACATGAATGACACATGAAAGTCACTTAATATACAGAATTATGACCAAGGGAAATAGTTGTTTTTTGATCTTCAGACAGCAAATAGTCGGTCACGAACAATACAGAGAAAGACAGGCAATATCAATATGGGATAAGGCATCAATCACAGCGTTGATCACTTTATTTTTAATAAAGTAGTACAACCGCACTAGATGTAGGCGGTGAGTAACAAATAGACTCTAGTACATTACCTTACCGGTGGCAAAACATCTGTATAACTATTAAAAGTCGAATGCACTTCACAGCAATCCGTTTTATTCTCTTTGTATGATAATAGCATCATGAAAACCGATGCTTTCCAGACCCCATCCAGTGAACAGTCTAGGTGAATCAGAAAACAATGATACTACTAGAAAAGGTGTCAACAGAACATCATATACCCATGCTGAACTTCCGTATCCCTAATCAATGTATCTGATTAATACAGAACGGTAACAAAATCTCCTTAGCAGAGCTGCGGTTCGTTGATAAAGGTATTTGGTTTCCAGTCGATGGGTCGTAAGTTTGAACCCAGCCCCAAGTACAGGGGCTTGGATAACCAGATATGACTAATAGCGTGGTGCCCAAGGTTGCTGAGTGGATTCCCTTTTTCCTCAAACAATCCTCTTATTCAGATAATTGATAATGAATATAGATTTATACAATCATACATGCGCACACATACGGACATGTACGTCGGTTCATGAATAGAACACAGAAAGACTGCTGCTCATCAGAATGTATTGGTTAATTGGTTGGTTGACAGAACATTTTTGTTGCTTTTATAAAAAAAATTTTTCTTTTAGTTATAACCCAGAGAAACCTGAAAAAGAAATCAAAAAAATCGAAAAGCATAGTGAAAAATTGATAACATTCAATTTTCTTCTCTTTTATTCTTTAATCAGTTAAAAGCTTTTTCATAAGATACAGTGAGAAAAATCGTAGACGAGAAAGATTACTGATCACTATTATTTATTGATACTTGTAATTTCTTGTTGTTATACTGGATTGACCTCTATCAGCAGACGCGTTCCCATACAGATGCCTTAACGCTAATTATGTTGTTTTGCCCGATGGTGGCTGATTAGCAGTGGAATCTTGAACGTGCATTCCGCCCGATTTGTGACACATCAGTTGGATGTACCAGCGCCCCAGTACCCATCGTTTCAAACACCAAAGCGTTATCCACTGGACCACTGAGATAGCTCTCGTGTTTCAATTGACAAGTTCTAAATAAAATGAAACGCACGTCCTGGATTCCAATGCTAGTCACTACCAAATAGAAATTACAAGATTACTGAGCAGTTTACACTATTAGATGGAATGGTGTTCTTATCAATTCCGAAATATCTTACTAGCCAGCATGTGCAGCTGTAGACCAGTGACATCAATCACTCAGACCTCAACTAGCCAAAAAGGCAGTTTTGCACAATTTGGACTAAGCGCACTAGTACAAAGAATTCTGGCTACCTGGTTAAAATTAACTTACTATTAAAGATTCACCTCTCTGAACTGAACTAGTCAAAGTAAACCAGCTTTATGCGCAATAGGAAACAAGTGAAAAGACCTTGATTTAGCTAATGACCAGTGTTAATTTAGTTCGAGTGGTTTACAGTTTCACATGTTAGTGAACATGCATCCCGATCAATAGCTGCTACTTTGAAGTGGTGGCCAGGCTTGTATATCAAAATGGCCGAACGAACTATGGTGGTGGAACGTTTGTTCTCTCGAGATCCTGCCATACCAGAAAGAAGGTAGTTACCGTTGTAGTGTAAATGGTTACAACATGATGGGAGTCTGCGGGCGAAGTTGTACTGCTGCCTGACTGGGGTGTGACAGAAGTTAGGTATTTCGCGTGGATGACCAACAGTACCATGCTGATGCTGCCTTCCTGGTGAGAAGAGGGCGAGCTAGAAAAGGTTGGTCCCCGAAATAGCATACTACCCTGTGCCTCATGGTCTTATGGTGCAGGTGGTATGGGTTTTCTCTATCAAGTATTAGAGCAATCAAATCTCACACCGACAATTCTGAAAAGGCTGTGTGCGACAGACCTCAAACAGATGCTCTATGGGCTTTGTGTTCACACAAATTCCTTTCTCTTTCAAGTAACTTAGGAAGAAACATCCTTCCAGGGTGTGAGCAGTCGGGAAGTGTCAACCACTTCACAGAATCCCAGTACATATATATCGCATAGCTTTTACATTTAAAAGCCTGGCAAAAAATATATGGTATTATAATAAGCAAGGAATAAACATTATCATGTTTCTCACAGTTGTGGAAATCAAGACATCTGTTATTGTATTCGATTTCGAAGAGTAAAACCAAGATTCTACAACCATTGATCTCATCATCTTCTTACACAGCTCAGACTTAACATTCAAAGACTTTATGGACTCGTACCAAGACTCGGTTTGACTAAACTTAGTCTTTTTCCAAACATAATACTTATTCAGATAACATTGTGAGTACAATTAATCTAAGGTTATTGAACAGTGCAACTCTTGTTCAAATCACTTTTATCTGATAAACCAGCGTTGTTTGAATAAATACGATTGACTTAAAGCACAGATTTATTTATACGATCATAATACATGGTAATAAATATCAAAAACAAACATATTTTGGTGTTAATAAGGTTACAATGCAAAACTAAGACAAGACAAAATAGATAACAAGTTAGTAACTAGCTTGTTAAAGTTTCCAATCATCCTTCTATCTGCATTTTTGGCAACAATCAAATCTCAAGTGAAATCAGTTCACAATACTATTCTAATTATCATTTATCATCACTTACAGACATAGTTTTGCTCAAAAACAGATCATTATTTAGTAGCAAGCAAAACATTTCCTTTGGAAGTTATGAGTGACTGAGTCTTATCGATTCAGGTAATTCAACTTTAAGCTAGTGGGGTTAATAATCAGAAGCGGTTAGGACAGAAATCAATACTTCAAGTCACGATGGGGTATACATTTATTTTTGGTCTTCAACACTTCAGTAAACCAATCAGAATGATTTAAATTTATTTATTTCCCTAACATACTTTTTAGACATTATAAAACCATATAGAACATGATATATTTCTATGCGATAAAAGTTTTCTTGCCAGTGACGGTTCAACTTTCATCATTTAAACGTTTTGCAGCATAGTAAATTGAAGAAAGGGGGTGGTGCACTAATTGTTCGTTTACAGTTCGCGTTCAAACCGAAACCGTAATCCGGTTAACAACCTTGGGCTCATTGATACAGTCGGCAATGAGCCAAATCTATTGTGTGAAAGCTAATGATACTACCTGACTAACTGCCTAAACCTTGGTAAATGGAGCAGTGTTCGAACTTGTGAGCTATTTGGTTTAAATTTGCCTCCCTAAACCAATGAGACAACTCCACACAGTTCGAATGCATCTGTGTACTCATTATTTATCTACCCCATCACTTGGTCACTTCGTATCCCACTGATTATTGTGCTTTAGACAGTCTTGCAGCAGTCATCAGAACCAAACAAATAAATACCATATACAACCTGGTACAAGAGAGAAACTACACCCAATTTGTTTTGAGTTGCTTATAAGGTATGGCAATATCTAAGCAATGAACAGGTTATATTGAATGGTACTTTCTTTCTCGGTGCGTTTAAAGCTTAGCAAAATAATTAAAGGGGTTCAATTTGGGTGGTAGCATATGATATAAAACGCTACTGTAATCTTCATAACCATAAAACGACATAAGAAATGTTGAGAATGATCACATTTCAATAATTTAGTAAGTAATTAACTGATTGATGCCTCTTCCTCTGCCCTCCCTCTCCTAGAAGAATCAACTTACCACTCAATTTAGATCAAAGAAGACGTTAAAATTTATCCATACGACATAATGGTGCTTTATATATCATATTCAAATCAATTTTTGGGCCAATCAGATCACGAATATTCTTATAACCATAACGAATCATCGTTGGACTAACAGAAAACAACAGATAGAAAAACAAAGAAGAATAAAGATAGAAAAAAAGCATTATAACTTAAACAAAAGTATCTCAGTAAATTACAGTCGGATGAAGACTGTTATTTATTGAAGCATATCATTGTTTAATAGAGGGTTAGGAATGAAACGCATTGGGGAAGGTTAAAGGTCATTGACGTACCGCTCGAAATTCGATCAAAAAAGCCGAAACTATACAAGATAATGTTAGTTGGTTGGAGGCAATCGGCAGGAAGCCCTGGACCTAGGTTTCGTGCTTTGTGGCACTCGTCAGCAACTTTACCACTGAGCTGTTCGGGCCGCGACTGACCTCCTGTAGGACTGGCTTACATATATTGATTGGTCACGGGAGTGTAACCAATTTCATGTTGTCTAGTCCAGAGTGCAGACCGAATTCTATCGATCATATTTGCAGATACGCCTTGCTGACGAGTGCCAAAAAGCACGAAATCTAGGTCCAGGGCTTCCTGCCGATTGCCCCCAACCAACTAACATCTACTAATGTGCACCGCGACGCTCAGCTTCCTAGCTTGGTTGCCGTATTGCATATATGATCGATAGAATTCGGTCTGCACTCAGGACTAGACAATATGAAATTGGTTGCACTCCCGTGACCAATCAATACATATAAAAGATAATCGGCTTAAAAAAGGATTAATGGTTCCACTTATGATGTTTACAACATATTAATTACGATTAATTACTTGAGAAAAGCTTTGGTGTTTTAGCTCTACCGTCTCCAATACTATCGAATCTCTGCTCTAGTTAATTAGTGCTGGAAGTTGAAACCAAAACCTGGATCACACCAGGATTTAAAGCCCCAACCTTGGAGGTTGTAACCCTGTGCGTTCGCTTCAGTCATTTCACAAGAAAGGGATGCTGTTGAAAATCAGAATCTGTTATGGAAAGACATTCTCAAGGTGAATTGTAGATTTCGCTAGCTAAATCAGACTAATCGTATCACCAGGATCGAACATATCAGTGGTGATGATGATGGTCTCCTGCTGTATATATTAGTGTGATACTGGTAGCGAGATTTCCAGATGAATGTCCACTTGTATATTTCGTTGGTTCCTGTCACTTATACACCAAAAACTAAACACGGTTGGGTGGTTTCCAACAGGAACACTGTTAACACCACAGTTGGACAGCTATGAGAAATTTGAAGGCGCATTGTACAATTCTCGAATAACTGGAAAATTGTTTGATGAACTTGCTGTTGAAACATGTTGCTTTAAAATATTAGAAAGTACAGAACACAAGTTTAACGTTTTCTATTGATCTTCTTTTCAATCCTACAATTATTTCTTTCCATAGAGTATGTCCTTCCGATAACAGCATCAAGTATTAAGATTAAAGTATAACAATGATCAGTGTATAAGGTGGTTAGAGCATTGAGATCCACTATCAACTTCATCTTGAAGATGTGTTCAACAAGCCTTCACTCATGAATAACTGACTTGATTCTTAGACAGAGATTGGACAGTACAACTAAGAACATATTTTAAGCAACCAAGGTAAGGATATCTGAAAACATCGAACCTATTTGATGATCTCTTAAACAGGGTCAACATTAAGAGTGATGATATTAAATTCCTCTGTATTCATCTAGTAAAATGTAAATAGGGTCCCAAAGATAGAGGAAGGATTCATTAAGCCATACAAGCAAGCGACTTGAAGAATAGTCCTGAATGACTTTGTCAGTTAAAAAATCTTTATGTGGAAGAATGATCAATTGGATAAGAAAATACTTATCAATGTGGGCATTCAAACCAGTAGACTTGCAGTGGATAAACAGATACAAAGGAACGCCAAACAAGGAGTCAAACACCTTAAACAGTTCATGACAAGTCTAAAGCTGCGTGGACTGGTGCCGTGTTTAGGTTTGACCATCCTTAGTCTTTTCACAACCCAATCCTATTTTGGCTAACACCGCGCGTCGAGGTAGGGGGTGGCTAGGCACGCGCAGCATATACCCTAGCGATCTCAGTCTGTGAAGGTTCACAACCTTATCGATAGGCTTGTTTTCTTCCAGTTGGAATATATAATAAGGCGTAACATCATTTTCAGAGGGAATGCATGGATAGTTATATAACAAATGTTATTAGATGATACGTCTCGACGCTGATAGATGTCAAGTTAAACGGTTGTATATCAACCTTTAGACTCAATTCCACCGGTAACCGTTTGTTTTGCGAGTTCTGATAGCCGCTACACAGCGTTGAAAAACATCGGTTTTTCCCCCAGTAATTCTAAGTGAAGAAACACCGGAACCGGCTAATACCTGTAGAGCTGTAACTCACCAGACTGAAAGTTCGACTTATTTTCTGTAAATTGCAAGTTGGAAACTCGTTTCAAACGCCAAGTCTTAAGCAGATGAGTAGCAGCATAAAAGAGCTCAAACAATAGGTACAATTTGGTGTATAGTAAGTGCAACTAAATACCATTGCCAAGTTGCAATGTTTCAAGATTCTTAAGCAAAACACATCAATCACCTGAAATACAAACAAAACAACAAACTTCTGTCAAACAAACACACAGAGGAAATCAACGTAGAACCTCGCACACCAATGCATCACCTCAAGCTGCTACGCTTAACAGCAGCATGCAAAGAGCAAGCGGATCGGAAAAGTGACGTCAAATTAGACAAAAGTGTATGCAAAAGGAAGGAATTTGAAAAATGAAGGTTAGTGAAAATATTCAACCTTTAGAAGACGTCAATGACTTAATACATCTGTGTCATTGTGACCAATATTCAGCTGTGCCAGTAAAAGACTTCAATTACTGGTTCCTATCGTGTCTGGCAATCCAGTCAGCCAGTCTACACCTCCCCATATGGCTCAGAATAACTTGGTCTGATCATCTTTAGTCTTCATCTCTTGAGGGGAAGCTGCAATCTTCCAACGGCATCAGATCACTGTCCCCGATAAAGCTCTCATAATCTTTCCATCGAGTACATTTTATCATGAGTATGCTCATCTTTCGAATGGTCCAAAATGATGAAACAGTTTGACAAACTACACAAGAAGTTCTATCAAGTGCAAATATCTCCTCATATAAATATATGAGCAGATATAAGCTGGAATATGATTATCAATTAGTACTGGTCAGGTTGATGAGCAGTATAACTCCTCAATTTAAAGCTGGAAGTTGAGACAATTAATTCAATGTTTCATTCATATCAGTAACGTCATTTACACAAATGTGACACATTAACGTCAACAACTAACCATATGAAATGCAGTAAATTCTCACAGGTAAAGAAAAACAGTCATTTTATCATGTTATATAGATAGATCCACTCAACTTCTAGTTCCCGTTAGCTCTCAAGAGAACGAAAGACGGATTGAAAGTAGTGACTAACAAATCATTGCTGAAAGAGTACACGGAGTGATACTACTACTGAAAAAAATGAGCATTTAGAAATCATTCAAGTTGATTGCGCCAGGCAGAACAGAGTGGTCTAAACATCGAAGGGGCGTTTCACTCAATTGGGGGGGGGACGAGCTCATCAATAGTGTATCCGGACAAATTCAGTTCATATCACAGGAATTCAGCTAGCTGATTTATATGAACTGGTACGCCTAAAATAGAAGGGTCAATTTGCAAATGATTTACAAACTGCGCAGTTCACGTTAATATTTCGTACAGCTGAGCAGTTTTTCAACTGCCCAACTTTCGTGTCAACAAGATTTCCGCTAGAAATCATTCAGTCAAGATAACAAGGTGTGACCTCTGACACAAAAGTGTCATGTACTGGTGAAAGATACTACTACTGAAACCAATCAAGCTGATTTGTAGATTTCGCCAATCAGAATATTCAGTTTGTATACACGCTCTTCCTGACGTAATCGTGCGCCTTAAATTTGCAGGTTTTATCTTCTATTCAAGATTATACGCTAATTCCATGGTGCTTTGCGACTGAAACAATGCTTTAGAAGTGAACATCATCTTAACGCTCGTTTGCAACCTTTTCCACAGCTTTTGTTTACAATGAATGAATCGTCACATAATCACAACGCAGAACCAAATGTTGTATTTCTCTTTGGATCAGAACTATGTTGTGTAGACAGTCAAGTTGAGACAATACAGACTATTGATACAGATTATTCCCAGTAACAAAGTGGTAACGTTTGAGTAGTTTTACTAGAACTCTGAAAAGCAATAACTACTTAACTAAATATGAGGCATCAATTGGAAAATCAACTTACCGTTCTAAAGACAGACCCCAGGCTATTACAGATAATCCTTCAGGTAGACCCATTGGTCGGAGCATTTCTGGACGAAATAGTCCAGAATTACCTATTTCTACCCATTTCTTGAGACCTGAAATCGAATGTTTAAGAGATACGCATAAACATTCCTGGCTTATCCGTAAGCAAAGCAAATGAAATGATAAGTCATAGGAAGAAGAATTGAATGACATACGTGTATTCTGCAGTGTGACCTTTTGGACTAATGAACTATTCGTTTATTTTTTAACTAGGAAGCCAAAAATTTCGACTCTAAACCACCCACTTCAGTCTGTGAAGGAGAGTAGTCCCTAGGGCTTTAAGACCATTGACAGAGGGTTCTAATAATAATACTTCCCGTCTTTATACTCAATCGGACTGCTCGACCTCATTTAGCAGATGGGTTCCCTTGTGGATGTCTTGATATTACTTGATTACTCACTAGGTTGTAATTTGCTTGGTGGTGGCTAGCAGTGGAATTCAGGACATGCGTTTCGTCTTATTTAGGACTCGTCAGATGTATGCAACTGGACCCTAGTGGTTAATGCTGTTTCTCATTGACAATTGAATGTAGTACCCATCGCTTTAAACGCCAAAGTGCTATCTACTAGGCCCATAGGGGCGTCACAGCCATTTATTTATGCTTTTGAGATGGTGAAGAAGTAAATACTGATGAAGTTATCTAGCTTGAATGATGAAACAACACCCAAAAACAAACCTCACAGCTCGGAGAACAAACAATTATCATTATATTTATGCTTAGTATACAAGCAGAAATAACCAACTACAGAGGGCATTCTATCATCAAGCAAACTCACCAGGATGATAACTGAAAATCTCCATGCTGGGTTCAGTGTATGGATTATAGGCTGGTTTGAAGCGCAGTTGTTTAAGTCCCAATTTTGAGAAGAATGCACGAATTACAGCTTTTAAATGGCCTAAACTCAGACCAAAATCAACAATTAGACCTTCAACTTGATGAAATTCGGCTAAATGAGTAGCGTCCAAATTTTCATTTCGAAATACCCGATCAATACTGTAGTATCTAACTGGAGTAAATGGAGTCTGAAAATAAACAGATTATGAAAAAACAGCAAGTGGTTGATAATACAGCATTAATTTTTAATCTTGACTTCTTATTTTTTTACAGTTTATGTGATATTGTGATACTGGTAGAGGTAATCAGCAAGAAGTCTTGCTTGGCCTAGGTTTTGTGCTGACTGTTGGCACTAGTCAGCAAGGTGTACCTGTAACCACTCACAAATTCAAACGCAAGTTATCCATTGCTGTACTGAGAAATATTATCACTGGGTGATTCTGACTATGAGTCACCTGGTGCGTAACTGGCTGATCACTGACGGGTAACCAGTTTCGTGTTGCCTAGTCCTATGCGCTGAAGGAATCCTATTAATTGTTTTGAAATATGGTCAACAAAGCTGAAGATAAACATAATAGTGCATGAGAGGGAGGCAATTGGCAGGAAATCCTACTCGTTAGTAGTTGTTAGTAAGGCGTATCTGTAACCTCAAGACGTTAAACCTAAGAAGACAGTTTTCTAAGGTGGTCTCTTTAAGGTAGTAATTAGGAACGGAACACGCTCAACCATCATGTACACATCCGTGGAGTAGACAATGAGCAACACCTTTTATATGACGGCTAGTGATACTACTTGACTACCCAAACCTCTGTAAGTGGAGCGGGGTTCGAACTCGTAACCAATCGGTTGATATTCAACTTCCTAAACCACTGAGTCATAGTAATTAAGGGTTGGGTGAGGTAATATTACCTAAATAAACATTGAATTCAGTAAACTTTAACCTTATTTACCGACTTTGAAAGTTGATTCGCAAAACTTTTGCCACAGAGACACACACGGAGTTCCATGCAAGTTGTTACACTCTATACAATTTCTTATATGATCAGAAGTACGTCAGTGGAGCTGCAGCTCATTAGATTTGGGGTACAGTGTCTTCCAACCAGTAGGTAACGCGTTGGAACAGTACTACACCTATAGGCGTAAAACTTGGGCACTGTGGTAGGACTTAATTCCATATTAGATTTGTTTATTTCATTTATAACATACAGTGAGCAATAAACGTCATCAAGTAAATAATAGTAGACCACTGTATGTCATAAATCAAATAAACAAATCTAACATGGGAATACTACACCTACCAAGACTTGGAAATCCAGCCCTCAACATGAAAGATAAATAACCTAGGGCACAGAACTTCATATCGCCGCTGAGTTCCATTTTTTTATATTTTATATTATTAGTAGTACCACATCATTAATTACGGAACGTTGTTGGTTAAATTAGTATCTCTATTTCAAACTCGCTCAACGCCTTTGAGTCAACCTCCGCTTTGTACAATGGCTTACAATCAGGAGTAAAACTCTGTCATACCGTTTCCTTACATCCTCTGGAAATCACCTTCCCATACACTACTCGTGTTATGACAAATCTAGATGAAGGGATTGCTTTATTTAATCCAATACTCAGAGTGCTATTCACGGTTTCAAATCTGTCAAACCAATGTACTGATTCCGCAAAAGTTCTTCTTTCCAAATATTCCAAGTTTACAGATCCTGGAAAAGTCTACAGAAACCCAACGTATTAAACTGAATACTATTTTAAATATCAGTTTTCAACCTTATTTAGACGAACTAACATACATCACATAATTACAGTGAAGTAAACACGAAGCATGTCGAAGTGACGGTGATGTGACTTATTCAATAACCAGTTAACCTACCTTCTTGGACAGAGCATAAAGCATACGTGCGCTCACTGCGGTAGTGTGTGTACGCAGCAAATTTTTTTCAGCTTCCTTGATCAACCAGTCTGACTGATAACCCCGACTACCAAAAGCGCCATGACTATGAACAGCGCGCACTTTTTCAACATAACTAGCATCTACTGTCTTACTGACGTCAGTTGTTTCAGGATCTACAAATAAAAAATGGAGGCTATAACAATGCGTGGAGGAGTTATAAGATATTATGAAACGATAGATAACGACCATATTGAGACTATCTGACAAAATTAACCAGTCACCTTGGGAGATGGAAAGCCAACAATATCAACTCTTACCTATGTGAACAACGGAACGTAGGGCATATATATATATATATATATATATATATATATATATATATATATATATATATATATCCATCGAAAGCAATAAAAAAGAGGAAGGAAGAAATGCTGAATTCAGTATAGCGGTCAACATGAAGATAAAGTGTGCTTATATCCACGCCAGTGATGCCGATTCTGGGTCACATCATCTAGAATCTCCAACCACTGATTTCTGTTGTCATATGGACCTCAAACGGCTGGCCCGCATCTCCCTACGTGGCTCGGACCAACAGTCAAGGACTTCATGCAGTGGCGCCATGTCAGCCTGGTCGTGCCAAGCCTTTTTCAAGCCTCAACTTACTTCAGCTGAGATTGGGCGAAGAGGCAGATGGTGATTACGTATGAGTAATACATGTCTCAGTTATCTCAGTCGAAGGTTCACGACCTTATCAATTAACTTCCCTTTCCTCTCTAAAACTCTACACCTGACTTCTACGTTACTGACGCGGTGACACCATAAAATGTACTGCAGAAATACATCACATTTTTCAGATAGATCGTCTTCGTATTGAGTCATGCAAATAACTGAATAGGGTGAGCATTGGATAAACGGATTATAAAGGAAATATATTTGTAAAATCTAAGTGAGGTAGAAAACTAAATTTCTGATGTTTCGCGACCTCGCGAAAACTGCTTCTGCAGAGAATAAAACATGTACAGGCATTATTTCTCTATTACATTGGGATTTTACAAATATATTTCTTTTATAATGGAATTTCATAGTCCTTGCCAAGACTTTCGGTTTCGCAATACAGGTAAAATACTGCAAAATTCATTTAGATTTAAAGTTTTACGGGAGTATAAAATAACGAGGATTCTTCTAATGACATGGTATTAGTAGTCACGGATATTTGTCACGATTTAAGAATTAAACTTTGAGAAACAAAATTAAGCGTCTAAACCACAAAGTTGGTCATCAAGTATACACGTGTATATCGTCAAATATAAAATTTGGAATTAGGCTATAGGGTGAAACGATTTAGATTTAAGGTTGTATGTGATTAAGCTTTACGGTGTGTAACCTGGTAATAAAATGTACAATACAATGTAATTTGCACTTTTTGCGGATGATTTTGTCCCATTTGTGAAATACAGGTGCGCATATGTAAAACATCGTACGATTACTTAGTAGTGTATGCGAAACGATTCCTTTTACTTGTATAGAGAATATATCGCTGTCGTGAAAGTGAGACAGACTATTCAAGGTCACTGAGTGATCCACTGTTCAAAGGCAGTAAAATCTTATAATTCCACTGGTGGTATACATGATTACCTGATAGGAAAAATGTATCGTGAGCATCACGAGCGGGATGTTGTTGAGGTTGAAATAGGCTATCAAAATTCCAGAAACTTGATTCAACATAGTTATTTGTAGGCATTTCTGAAAAGCTAAGAAATAAAAACCAAACGGAAAAAACAGACAGTAAGGATAAAATAAATAATGAGAAACTTACTGGAAAAAAACCTAATTAGTACTGACATTTTGTTAAAAAACTGACAAGGCTCTGAAAACTCTTCAAGAAGGTCATTATCACACGGTTACTGACTCACTACAAATTCCAGCTGAAGTCAGGATGTATAAGACAACAGTTTCTGTGGTCAACATAATGTCAAAGTGAGAGAGTACAAGCTTATCAAATAACTGTTCATTGATATCAAGAAATCATATGATAGTTGAGGCTCATATTGACATGTTAACTGCTTGAAGACGCATAAAAAGCATCGGTGAACTCCACTTTCTCAACTCCTATTTCCCGAACATACTACAATTGGCTAGTTACGATTCACATGTAAAGTCCCCGTCTACCCTGATATGTGAAGTGGGTTGGAGTAGAACTCGATAACGGAAAACAAAAGTGGCCGGAACAAGACTTGGTAGCAGTTCAGAGAGTCGGTGATTACTGATCTGAACCATGGGATAAAGTGTTGACCGCCTGATCGGTCTCCATGAATTGTCAGATATGACTGGTCGGCGACTGTCTATAAGAATCACAACGGCGAATCAAATTCTTGAATAGATGAATGGTTCATACCATTCAAATTTGAACAGGTTGAACACACCCACCAATGTAACATAACCAGGTATCAGGTTTGTAGCTTTAAATATGTGCGGCTTCAAGCAAGTAACCCTTTTAATGGGAAAGTTAGGCTCATGAATGAAAAAATATTCACTGAGTTGTGTGAAAGGCACAGACATGGATTCGAGGTTTCGTGAAAAGTTTTAAGGTTACTCAACTAATTTTTGGCATCCAGCAACGCATTTACACACTGGTTAAAACTCACATAATAGGATGTGTTGTATGCACGAATTTTGTGATATCAAAGGGAATAACTACTTTACTGACTAACTGTTCTAGTATGAAATACGATTTTCCAGATTATTCAGAGAAGCTCTAAATCCCTGAAGCCTTTCAAAGTTGATCATCTTGGTTCGAAGTTTCGGGGAAAAGCATATGAACATACGTGTAAGTATCAGATTGGCTGAAGAGGTCTGGAAACAACTAAGGCTATCGTACATAAATCACTGTATTTTGTAAATAGTTTGACGTTGCTGTGTATCTTCTACTGTCACGTCGCTTTTCCTGTTTACCGAGAGATTGAGTGACCAACAAGGGTGGAGTCTGAAGGCTATTGTTTAAATGTCCACATGTATATATATAACCAGGTCGTATTACTAACCTATCAAGCAAGTGTATCAAGATTCAAAATCGTGATTCTAAGATTGAAAATAGAGTGCTCATACCATCAGAACTGAAAACCTATTCAAGAATTTAAGATAGTATTCATTACGAACTAGCATCCACTGGATAACTATTGGGAACCTAGAAGCCCTGCAGAACTGTCCCGGTCTAGTATGGCATTCCTCAGGGGTGTATCCACAAATCTGTCCGGAGTTGAACCCAGGACCATAAATTTTCGTGGCGAGCCAACTACTATTCACAGCTACTGGTTTCGAACAGCTTTCCAATGCTCCCAGGCTTTTAATGGTTATCCAACGGATGTCAGTCCCTGATGAATACTGCCTTAAGATCAATCAATCCGCAAAAACCTCTAAATTGAATACCTATTCAAGAAGACTGTACTTCATTTGAGATGTGTTTTACACGTAGAGATGTTACATACAATCATACCTAGTGTTTCTCATCGAGAACAGAACTATCTCAATAAAAGGAAGGTCAAGGCAACCATATAAAAGGCTTCAAAGATTTCCCTACTAAATTATTCTTTACGACTTCATGTGTGTCAGCATTACGTGAAGAATGAGAGACAGAGCCTTATGATTACCAACGGAGCAGCACAAATGATTAAAAAAAAAAATAAACAATACATAGAATAGGTATATTCTTAAGCCAACGATCAGTGCTGATCTCGGAAAACACTCAGATAGGAGGTAAGGTGATGGAGTGAGGAAAAATCTTGGACATCGAATTCGGAGCATCTTAAAACTATTCATTAGTCAGTTATTCAAAACCTAACTAGAGACTATTAAACAGTTATTCAACGAATGCTGACGCCTTACAACTGTTTCAATAAATATGTAGAAATTAAAACATCTGAGTGCTTAAAGAACACTTTGACCACGAATCCATACACAATTCAGCAAAAAGAAAATATTTTCTTGAGAAATAGAAAACATACCCCATATCACAAAGTATTCTACAGAAATCAGATCGGACAAGAAGAAGAGGATGAAGATGTCCAGATGGCAAAGTTGCACCAAGAGCATCAAAGTTGTACGCTTTAAATCGTGCAGTCTGCCATTCTCCACTAAAAAGAACGAACATACAATGTTAATTTTTCATGTCAGTTAGAAAACTGGTTTCAGAAATCTTGCTAAAGAGTCGAGTAAAGTTAGAACTAACTATTGAAAAATGCTAAACACATAGATGGTGACTATTTTCGCATGCTGTACCATTGCGATGTAGCGTAAGGTCAGATGTAGAGCCTTAAGGAGGAAAGTCAGTTGGTGAGGTTGTGAACCTTCATCTACTCAGGTGGTCGGGACATTTGCTACACATGTCTAATCACTGTCTGCCTTATCGCACAATGCTAGCTGAAGTAGGTTCAGGATGGAAAAAGGCTCGGGGCGAAGAGACTAAACCATCACTGCATGAAGTCTTTGAATACTGAGCTGAGCCATTTGGGGAGATGCAGAAAAGCCGGTTGGGGTAGGCATGACAACAGAAACCGGTGATCGGAGACTCGAGACAAATGATACTATTTGTCTGTCAGTACCTCATTAAGTGGGGTGGGATTCGAACCTATAACCCATCAGTTAGTAGTCGAGTGCATTTATCGGTAGGCCATAGCTCCTCGGAACACTAGTAGTCGCTGGTTGTAGGCCTTCGGTAGTATACCTTAAAAGCTATCAGAACGGCAATGATCTAAACACCCAACATCTTCGGATTTGTGGATATTTTCGTCAGCATTAGCATGTTTATTCTCTCATTTCATGCATTTCTATCGAACTCAGCATCACTTTTTCCATCGACTTCGTTGCGTACTGATGTGAATTGTGGTAAACTGAACTGAGGCACTTTAGTGCGAGGTTCTACTTTGATTAGTTCACCTGTCCACAACATAATAAAGTCAGACTACGGAAACAGAACTTTTGGGACAGACTGTTGAAGATACTGATGAAGAGATTAATATTAATAGTTACCTTAACTATCTTCGTGACTTAGTTGTCTTGTTTCATTTTATTCAGTTAGTTCAGTTACTCAATGAAATTATTTTCATCTAGATAAAGTTGCCTATTTTCTGGATCTATCAGAAAATAATATCGTTCTTAGAGATCGTTAGATGATAGTCTGTCTCGGTTGAAACAAAGATAACCACAACACTTTATACTGAATGGTAATTAAAGCAACGTAACTCAACCCAGTGCACGTGTCGCTTATTTGGTAGACTATGAGCCACGCCAATTGTGTGAAGGCTTATGATGCTACTCGGTCTCCTCGTCCGAAGTAAGTGAAACGGGATACGAGACCACGACCCACTGTTTTAAATTATGGTTCCCACAGTGATAAGCCGTACCGCCAATCCAGAGCATAACTTCAAGAAACCCCTTTTTGAATAAAAAATTGATAAAACAAGATGAAAGTTTATGCACCCGTCACCTAATAATTTACTCATCCTTCAACCTCTGGACCCCTCAATTGTCGTCAACATCACAGCCTTTGACACACATCGGTTTAGAATAAGGCTAATAAACTCGAGTAAAATTCCGGTTTCATTAGTTTATATACAAAATATATGAAAAATAGATCTTCGCACCTTGAAAGTAAGTCAGATGATAGGTCTGTCTCTTCAGCATTGATATTTGTAGAGAACGATGGACCTTTCCGGACATAATAAGATGTACGTTTTCTAGAAGAAAAAGAAGAAAATAGACACTTAGAACCCTGATGTCAATTTAGATAAACACACAATTCAGCAACTAATTTTCGTTTCTTCAATTGAAACTTTTCACTATCGGATAGCGAGCGTTTAGACTGCCGCACTTCCAACAGTAATTGTTGTACATCATCTTTCACTTCGGGAATCTAAAACAAATTTTATTTATTAATAGGTAAATACACTTACCAGACGATGTAAATATGGTATACCATCTTCATTTTTTATCAGTGTTATCCATTTGGAAGAAAGAGCCTTGCTAATGCCTATTTTAGCACTAGGAAAAAGTTTCTGTTGAATTGAAAATCTAAGGTATAAGTCGAAAACAAACCAGTATATTGGTTTGCGGTATACCGGATTCCGGAGTGGCACAATACACTCGGTACTCATGACTACCATTGTTTAACATCTCTTCGCCTTCCTCAGTTAACTGTAGAATCACTTCGACAATACTTTCGCATTTAATAACCTATGCAGCAAGATTGTTTGAAACACTGTAGGACACGTACTCCATTGTAATTTTCTAAACTTTTTATTCCTCCAACAATCACTTGATGATCAACTCTTAGTTTGTCGGCTAGTCTATCCGACTTGAACTCGTTCTCCGTATCCAACTCATGAAGAATAGCGTTTTGAATATCCATCGGAAGGTTATTTCGACTGCTGAATTCGGTGTGTACAACAAGCAATAAGTGGGACGGGATTAAGGTTGACCAGATAATAAGATGATACTCTGTAATTTCAAAGCACGATAGGAGGAAATGCATCAGGGAGAAAATTTAGGTGAAACTTCCAAAGATAGGCATTTCGGCAGATACAACAATGTAGGGTCTCGCATTACGGTCTACTAATTCAACTTGTGACATTGCTCTCTAGGATATTGAGAGAAAATTAACGAGTCTATAGGCAGGAGTATTGAAAATAATCTTACCAATGTCTTGGAAGAATTAGAAGTAAAAACCAAATGAAAAGAACAATTGTTATGTGAAATAACAGGCGGAGGATGATATGCTTAAGCTGTATCACCTGACCTATCAACTTCATTTTTGATTGCTTTGTCAACTTCAAAAATACGGTTTACAGTCTTTTTACAAGCCTCAGAATGCTATAGACTTTATAGTGTACCTTTACATTTTTGCATAGTGCTAAACTATTTACTAATCAAAAAAGCATTTAATGTGTACCTAGTCTATGAAATCAACGTCAGTTCTTGCTAACGTCGATACCACATTAAGTGCTACAGCCAGAACTGCAGCTGTAGGTTGAATCTTTACTAATAGCTGACTGTGTGCTGTTGAGCTATAATGTTCAATCAAAGCAAGAAGTAACTTGCAATGAAATGACATCCAAGCATCATCTTTATCTAATGTTTGATGTAACGCGAGTCAGATAAGGGAGGAGTTCCACTATGTACTGTGCACTCGATAAGTACACCAGTGTTAGGTTGCATGTTGAACGGGAAGACCAGATGTCTAGAATCAGTGAAGATCAGTTTGCGTGGCTAATGAGCAGTCAACGGTATGTAGAATGATGAGAAACATCTACAGTTTGGTGTCGGTTACTTGTTCCTGACCGGTATCAACTCTCAGCACAGTTACCGTCAGTGTGCTCCCCAGTATCAACCCTCTATCACTCAAAAATGAACTAAAAGAGATCTTATTATAACTAACAATGTATAGTATAGAGTATACTGAGGAGAGCATTTCGTTTTGGAGCATTTGCTTAGGTAGTGATCACATGTAATAGCTCTCAGCTACAATCTGGAGTTTCGAGCATTAGGTAGCCAGGTACACTAACCACATGACAGCTTATGATACTAATTGGCTGCCAAGACCTGGTAGGTGTAACAGGATTGAAACCAGTCACCTGTTGAAAGTCAACGCCTAGGCAATGGACATGGCCTTAGGTACGTCTGACTTCACAGGGACTGATCTATTCTCCAGAGCTCATCTGACCGACTTGGAGTACACAGAAGTTATTGTTCTGCTAGATGAAGATCCTGACAAAATGCAGGGGCTTCTGAAGGTGTTGAGCAGAAATGTGTGTACGTTTCGCATGCGTTTCGCACCTGGCAATGTAAGGTGATCCTTTACGATTGGTCTGTAACCACTCCCAGTTTAAGGATAAGAAATGAAAGGGTTGAATAAGGTGATCACCTCACTTGGGAAGTTGCGTCAGTCCCAACATGTTGGTTTCTGACGGATACAGAAGGACCATTTGGCATTTGCCAACTTACATCATCCCTAGAACCGCAGAAATATCTGCCCACTTATTAGAGGACGAGTAGAGTGCACCGCAGTCAGTTCTGTCCTGTTTATCATCATCAATATCAATATAAAACCAGGCATTTCTGTGTTACGTTCTAAGTTGCCAAACCTCATATCAGCATAACAAGCAATAAAGTAGTAAGATAAAAGATGGAGAAAGAAAGAAGAAGCGTCCGAGAGCAGTAGAAAGTAGCAGAAGAGAGAAAGGAGGAATAAGAAAGTACGGAATTTAGTATAATGATTAAGATACACCTGTGTCACCGATATCAATTTAGACCCATATCACCTACAGTTTCCAACCACTGGTTTCTCTTGTCAAGTGGACTCCAACCAAGTAGTCTGCATCTCCCGGAATAGCTCAGACCAACAGTCAAAGACTTCATGCAGTGATGCCATGTTCTAATCTGTCCGCCCCAAGCCGTAACATTGGGATCGGCACCCCGCAGGGTAATGGAAGTGTGCTATACTGGGAACTAACCTTTTCTAGTTAACCTTTTTGCCGGAAAGGCAGCATCAGCATGGTAGTGCTGGTCATCCAAGGGAAACTCCAGTCACTCAGCAGTACAACTCCGCCTCCAAACCCCCATCATAGCACAGTAATATACACTATACCAGTAACTGCTTCTCGTCTTACCACTATCCAACAGACCTTCCTGGCATGATAGAACCTCTAGGGAACAAGCGATTTGGCCAACGTAGCTCATTGGGTCACTGATATGTAAGCCCGACTACCACGTCAAGGTAGCAGCTATCCATCCGCTTCTGGGATAAAATACAGCTATGAGACATGGCAGTTAGCAGGAGATTTGAAGAGACTACAGGTCTTTAACCATAGATGTTTTCGTGCAGCCTTGAGGTCAGGCGAAGGGTACTAGGCAAGATAGACAAGTCAGTTGGTGAGGTTGTGAGGTTGGACATGCGTTTTCCATGCAGATCTACCACCCAACTCGACGCGCTATGCCAGAGGAAGCTAGATTAGATTGAAAGAGGGTTCAGGGTGACCACACCACTCCATGAAATCTCTTACTGTTGGTTTGAGCCATGTTGGGAGATAGAGACTACCAGGCTGGGGTCCATGAGATGATAGGAATCAGTGGTTGAGAAATCTTGATGACATGGCTGAAACTCGGTCACAGTGGTGCAGATGTATTCACTCTTTGACATCTTATAGGGCTTGAATATTCGCAGCCACCCCTATCTTCAAATTGCTTATTCTATTACACAACCTTTTCTACTTTGATATCACTTATTCTACCCACCTGTTCTCTCTGTACTACTGTAAAATGTGGCAACCTGAGCCGATGCACTTGCGTGTGAGGTTCTGCGTTGATTGTGTCTGTATTGTTACCTTGCTATAATAAGAGTATCCACATCAATTATTAGTTTCAATCAGAAGACCAATAAACACGAAAGATTTCTACCATGCTTAGAGTCAATGCCGGCTAGAAACAAATGGACAGCACAACGGTTTTGCAGTAACATTAATATTATCTCATTAGATATAGGCTATATTTGCACAGGTCTCAGGGTTTGATACAAATAATTCCAGTGTTTCGCACGGAAGTCTGGTTCGAGAGTCCCTGATTATTTATCTCAAAACTGCTAAGATTTATACAAAAACAATCTATTTCATATCAATTTTTCACTCAGTGCACGAAATTTGTGAAAACATTTGGTCAAATCTTTACCAAAATTCACATAAATTGTTTCGCTACCAGTTAGCCCCACTTCAATCTTTTTTTTGAAAAGCTGGGGCAAGTTTTCTGTCTGATTGGTTATTTTGCAGTCAAGCCAAATACTATCATATCTTAACCACTAAATTCGACTTTATGGAGCAGGCCTGATAGCCTTACTTTGTGTAAACTGCAAGTGAGCGGATAGATAGAGAATGAAACGAGCAGTCATTGTAATGAATTTTACAGTCTCCATACAGCACCACACAGAATGAATGACTGGCTGATCGACTGAGAAAATAAAAGTAGAATCTTACACAGGAGTGAATCGGTTCAAGTTGCCACATTTTACAGAAGTACACAAAGAACAGGTGGATGGAAAAGGAGTGATCTAAGCACAGCTACCTACTGCTAAGCATACCTTGAAACTCAGCATTGCAGCAATACTACTTTGAAGATATGTGATGGAAGGAAGATGACGAACTATGTAAACCACCATAAAAGTAACTTCTATTATAATTTCAGAGTGTTTAGAAAATGAAAACAGGATTTTCCTGAAAGGTTTGCTGAGCAGATCACACCTTCAACATGAACCCAAATCACGCCTCATACTCCCTCAAGGTCAAACCGGGGTTCCAATGTCTAAGATCTCTTAAAGGGCTAGTGGAACCAATTGATTTCTTCGCTCTCACTTCTGGGTCTTGGGGAACGGTTCAAAGTCGTTGATGGGTTCCTATGCAGTAAGTCTACCCACTCGCCTGCTGTAGCTCGAGTTAGCTTACCGGCTGGTTGAGTGTTGATTAAGTTTGTAGGGAGTGAGTGATTTTTCCGAGGACTCTGATGCAGATGGGCTCCTCAAGTGTTGCGTCATCAGATGATTGGTCGAACTGGTTGCAAAAGAAGACAGAAAAGAGTTCCGGAGAAGTCATGGGAGAGGTAAGGAGAAAAGGAAAAAACAAGGTGAAAGGAAGCTGAACAGAAGGGAAAGAGAATTCTGTTTAGATTCATGGAAAAAATGACGGGAGAACTTTGATAAGTGGTTTGAGATCATGCAGTCAGAGGGGGGAGATGGAACGACTAAGATGGTTGGTGGAATATCATGCGGATTAGTTGCGGTGGTAACTGAGGGAGACGTCTATAGAGAAGTACAAGGTTCACTCGGTTTCGCGATGATAGTGGTGGCACGAAAGATTCAGTTTAGGGCTGGTTGTGTTGGTAGTGCGGATTGTGTAGGTTGTATCAACCTAGTTCGTATCCAGGCCGGATGAAGCCAAACTATGCATCGTTGCGCAGCTATCTAACCTTATGTTGAAGCTATCGACAGATGGAGCAGTAGCAATCTCGGCTGGCAATGCTTTCCGGTGGCCGCAACCCCGCGGGGAGAAGGAGTGCGAATGCAAGCGAGTTTCCCCCCTTTGGTGTGCGACTGTCCTAGGGTTACCCCGAGGCCGTTCGGTAGGACTTCACTCTTCGGATGACTTGCTTACTTAGTATTCTGTGCGCCGTTATCAAGTCACCACGTAACCAACGGTAGCTAAGAGAGTAAAGCCTCACGTATTCTACCCTATTCTCATGCGGTTTTGCCTCATTCTCACAACAGCCTTTGTTGCTTGCATCTAGACTTTCTCTAGGCGGTTCACATCTCTTTTCAGATACAGTGGTACAGTGACGTTGTGGACCTACAGGTGAGGTCGTTCGTAGGCC